AGGTTTTGCAGGTAGAGATAATGGAAAGAAAAGGAATAATGGTCTTGGCTTAAAAACCATTGGAGATTTTACAGACTGCAAAACAGAATCTAAACTTGCCTAGGCATTCAAACCCTCCCTAATACAGCTCAAGCCCACTTTACCATCTTACATCCATTTCTCCTCCCACCTTCTCACACCAGAGCTATTTATATCGCCCTCCAGCCATCCTGGTCCCAACTTCTCTAAATGGTTGGATTTCCAACTTCTGAGCTGTGGCCTCCTTCTAATTGAATGCTCTTCTAAAATCAAAAGCCAACAAAAATTCCATTTGCCCCAAGGAGTTCCTCTTCTTCCTCAGCCAACATTAAGTCTTCGTGCCCTGTTGGATTAGAATCATCCATTCATGCTCCTTCTCAGCCCTCTCCCCCACCCTTGGCAAAGTTATTCCATCCATCCGCAACCAGAAGAAGCAAGCTCCTTGGGCATAAATGGTTGGATCAGTAGAGCCCATCCTGGGTTTCTCTCCCAGCAACTGAAATTAAAATCGTGGGTCACATTTGGCATCAGGAACATAGGACCCTTTGGATCTGTGTCCAGAGCTGGTGCCTTCCAAAGCTGAGACTATGGGGGAGTAGAAGCCAAGAGCCCCTATGGAGGAAAAGGGCACAGACTTGCAGAGAGGTGTAGTGACCAGATGCTGGGTGAGGGTGAGGCCAGAGAAAACATGAGAGAGGGAAACTGCCCTCTCAATCCCAGGTTTCTGAGAGAGCCTCGGGTGAACATCTTGCAGCTGAGTTCCTGGAAACAGACCCATTTCCCCACAGGCCTGGATGGGATGGAGTGAAACATGAATCCAATTTCAGTTCAGTTAGCTTGAAGCAGTTTCTGTTCCTTGCGATCTATCATCCCTATCACTGAACCAGGAAGGCTGTCTTCCAGCAGTACATCAGGTACCGTCTCGTAACATCAGGTATGTAGGTGTGCAACTGCCTCCACCTGAGCCTGGCAGCCCTGAGGGCAGGAACTCTGTTCTATTCCTTCCATGTCCCCCAAGCCTGCAACACGCTGGATGCTGAACAATGGTCATTGGACTTGAATTCTGACAGTTCACGAAATGGTGCAATGTATTACTTGTTAGGCAATCATTCTGAATTTCTCGATGCTTCCCCCCTCCCCCCGTTTTGTGAAGTTTGCGTTATTTTATTTTTATTTATTTTTTTAAATAGTTTATTTATTTTTGAGACAAAGAGAGACAGGACATGAGTGGGGGAGGGGCAGAGAAAGAGGAAGACACAGAATCTGAAACAGGCTAGCTGTCAGCACAGAGCCCGATGCGGGGCTCGAATCCACGAACTGCGAGATCATGACCTGAGCTGAAGTCACATGCTTAACGACTGAGCCACCCAGGCGTCCCGAACTTTGTGTTATTTTAGAACATTTTTATCAAACTGGTTTTTATGCTGCTCACAAACCCTCCATCTTCACAGGATTTGCCTCTCTCATCCTATTTAGTGGTCACCAGAAAGGATTCAGACTTTAACAGCAAACGTGGCCCATGCCTCTCTCTAGTTGGGGGGAATGCTAGTCTTATAAGCACCCCATCTTGCAGTATTCCACTGCTTTTCCCCCATGAAATGGATACTTCCCATAACGGCTGTTGGGGCAGCTTAATTTCACTGATGTCATTTGAAACTCTATTAAAAGGTCAGGAGGCAGGCTAAATGCAACTTCTTCATTCAAAAACCAACTCAGAATCATAGATTTTCAGAGCTGGGGCCAAAGGTGCCTAGAGTTTCTATGAACTAGGATTGATTTTTTTTTAAAAGTTGCTAAATTTATATTCTTCCAGGGAATGCCATTACAAATAATAAGCTTCTATTAACACATCACTGCCTGCAATGCAGGTATCTTAACATAGAACCTTCTTGCTTCAAATGGCAATAGTGTAGAGATCAAGAAACGCTGGGTTGGCCGAATGACCTAGCAAAAGGCAAAAGAAACAAAGGTCCCATGTTGGTGAACATTTGCAGGCTGCAACATGGAGTGGGTTGGCCAGGTGGGTGTAATGGGGTCAGCCAGTCAGGGGCTGGACCCATTTCCCCACGGACCTGGATGGGATGGAGTGACAGGGCCTACACTTACAGACATTGTGATTTTTTATTAACTAATTTTTTTCAGAGAGAGAGAAAGAGAGAGAGTATGAGTGGGTGAGAGGGGCAGAGAGAGAGAGAGAGAGAGAGAGAGAGAGAGAGAGAATCTTAAGCAGGTTCCACACTCAGTGTGGAGCCCAATGCCGCGCTAGAGCCCATGACCCTGGGATCATGACCTGAGTCAAAATCAAGAGTCAGATGTTCAACTGACTGAGCCACCCAGGCACTCTGGACATTTTGATTTTTAAGTGGAATAAGGCACATGAGATGTTTAACACTGTGCCTGGCACATAGTTGATTCTCTAAAAATAGTATTATCCATGATAATATTATAATGACCAAAATTATGATAAGTGTTCGTTAGCCATATTTATTTGCTTGTTTATTTATTTTTGAGAGAGAGAGAGAACGCGCGAGGGGCAGAGAAAGGGAGAGAGGGAAAGTCTACGAAGGGCAGGCAGAGTGTGGAGCCCAAGGTGGCTCAGGCTCATCACATGTGGGGCTTGAACCCATGAACCATGAGATCACGAACCTGAGCCGAAGTCAGATGCTTAACCAACTGCGCCACCCAGGCGTCCCAAATGTTAGCCATTTTTAAAGGGAAAAAGCTCTTTATCTCCCCAACAGGTGTGCTGAGCTGCTTATTCATGGATTTGGAGCATACCTCTCACGGGACAAGTTTGCTGGGGGACCCAGTGACTGTGTGTAATGGATTGAGAAGGTTCAGGATTCCCAGAGGTAATCTGCAGAGTGAGGAGGAGGTAGCAGGAGGGTAGAAGAGGGGGGAGCTGGTGAGATGGTGAGCAACACTGTGGACTCACTCCAGAAAGATCACCAACTTTTCTTGTGGAGGCTACCGAGGAATACTTTAGGATGCAGGATGGGTCACGACACAGCTTGGGGATTTTGGATCTCAGTCATGTACACGAGCTATTCTTTTGCTCCAACTCCACCTCCAGCTTCTGTGACAGTCTTACAATATCACGTGGGTTCTGAATAAGGTTTTTAGTTGAAACTGAGGCAGGGTCCACACTTCCCCTCTGAGTTGAAACCGTGCAGAACCGAGACAGCAGTGCAGAGACGCGGGGCAAGGAGTCAGAGGCGACCACAAGAGAAGTTGCCAGAGTTCCCAGAAATCCTGGTAGGGCTTTGGCCTTCCATAGGATGTGGAATACGGGCTTCAGGCTTGGCTCCTCGGGAAGCACCTGCCTCCCATTCTCCCAGTAAAAGAGCCCTTCTGGCCTCACACCTGGATGTGACTAAGTTACATAGGCTTGGAGTTCGGTAGCTGCTCCAGCTGGGTCGAGATGGGGCGGAACTCTGTTTTTGTTCTAGACTCACCCAGATCCAAGACAATCACTAGCCGGAAGACCTTCCAGGGCTAGAGAGGGGCTGTGCTCTGGCCCTGAGTGCCACCCAGAGTCATCCTGACTTTTAGGAACGGCATCTCTGACCCCTGTAGGGCGCGGGGGTAGAACTGTTGTGGTAACCCTGTGGCTGGAGCCACATAAGCATTTATGATGTAAACAACAAAGTAGCCAGAGGACACATGGAGCGGTACTGTTCTGGGTAATCTGACTTCATTATTAACTCTATGGCTTTGGTCAAGGTCCTACCTTGTGCAAAATTCCAAGTCTTTCCTGACCCTTCTCCCGAATTCCCCCTTTCAACTCTAGCAATTTGGTTGTCACGTGACCAGGGGCTTAGGGATTCGTTTTAGACAAACCAGCCTCCGCCACACGACCCTAGGCAACTTTCTTTGCCCCTCTGGCCGTTGTTTGCGTCTGTAAAATAGATGGGGGCAGGGGCGCCTGGGTGGCTTAGTCGGTTAAGAGTCCAACTTTCGCTTAGGTCATGATCTCGCGGTTCGTGGGTTCGAGCCCCGCGTCGGGCTCTGTGCTGACTGCCAGCTCGGAGCCTGGAGGCTGTTTCAGTCTGTGACTCCCTCTCTCTCTGACCCTCCCCTGCTCACGCTGTCTCTCTCTCTGCTAGAAATAAATAAAACATTAAAAAAAAATAGATGGGGGATAACAGCAACTTCCTCCGGGATGGGCTAAATGCAGCAAAACACACGAGGGCTTAACACCCTGCAGGAGTTGGGCAGTGAGCCCTTACTCATCTTCCGATCATCTGACAAACTCATCTCGCTCCTCGACCCTGCTCCTGCTCGTTCCGGCTCTTTTACTTCGCTCTCATTTAAATCTGGAAAATCCACCTTGACGGTAAAGTTAGTTTGCATCTTCCGCCATTTTCCCGCGTCCCTCCTTCCCGGGCCCACCCTTCGCAGACGTAGAGCGTCCGCTGGTCGGACTGACGGTCAGCGACGGCGGTCTCTGAAGCAGTTCCGTCCTAGGCTCGGCCTGGGAAGTCTCCGAGCGGCCCGCCCAGATCGTCTGCGGCGCTGCCCTGCAGGGAAAGCCGCCGCCGGCGCATCTCTCCGGGGCGCGAGTGGAAGCGCCACGCTGCAGCAGAGGTAACAGGCCGGGACCGCGGCCAACGAGAGGGGGGATGGGCGCATCGGAAGGTAACGGGAGGCTCGGGAATCGAGAAGAACACGCCGCCCCATCTACGCCCGGCCTCCTTATCCTTAACGGGTGGCCCCCGCCCCCCCGGAGCAGGCCCGCGGCTCGCGAAGTGACAGCCACGTGGCTCGCGGGGGAATGGAATGTTGGCGTGGGGGGCGGGGCTGGAAGGGCGCCCGGGAGGTGAAGAGGGACCCGAGTACGCGCGCCCGGGCGCCGGCTGCCAGGCGACGCCGCCGGGAGCGAGCACGCCCCTGACGACACGCGCCGTTCGGCCAATGAGCGCGGGCCGGAGGGAGTGCCGGGCCGCCCCCTCCGTCCCGCCGCCGCCGTGGCCGCCGCCGCCGCCACAGCAGCCGCCTCCGGGAGCGTCGGAGGAGTCGCTGGTCGCCGCCGCGGGCCGGAGCCGCCGGACGAGGCCCGGGGAGCCGCTCGCGCTGACCCCGCCGCCCGATGTCCTCAAGATGGAGGCAGCGGGGGCGGCGACATGAAGAGAGCGGCGCTGTGGGCGCGGGAGCGGGGGCCCGGGCGGCCCGGGCGGAGGCGGTGCCGGGATGGGGCTGCTGCTCATGATTCTGGCGTCGGCCGTGCTGGGCTCCTTACTCACGCTGCTCACCCAGTTCTTGCTGCTGTACCGCAGACAGCCCGAGCCGCCGCCGGACGAGGCGGCCCGCGCGCGCGACGGCTTCCGCTACATCAAGCCGGTGCCGGGCCTGTCGCTGCGGGAGTACCTTTATGGCGGCGGCGGGGCTGAGGAGCCCTCCGGCGGGTCCCCCGAGGGCGGCGCGACCCCGGCCCCCGAGACCCCCGCCCCGCCGACGCGGGAGACCTGCTACTTCCTCAACGCCACCATCCTGTTCCTGTTCCGGGAGCTGCGGGACACCGCGCTGGCCCGCCGCTGGGTCACCAAGAAGATCAAGGTGGAGTTCGAGGAGCTGCTGCAGACCAAGACGGCCGGGCGCCTGCTGGAGGGGCTGAGCCTGCGGGACGTTTTCCTGGGCGATACCGTGCCCTTCATCAAGACCATCCGGCTCCTGCGGCCGGTGGTGCCCTCGGCCGGCGAAGAGCCGGACGGCCCGGAGGGGGAGGTGCTGCCCGCCGCCTCCCCCGAGGAGCTGGCCTTCGAGGCGGAGGTGGAGTACAACGGGGGCTTCCACCTGGCCATCGACGTGAACCTGGTCTTCGGCAAGTCGGCCTACCTGTTCGTCAAGCTGTCCCGCGTGGTGGGGAGGCTGCGCTTCGTCTTCACTCGCGTGCCCTTCACCCACTGGTTCTTCTCCTTCGTGGAGGACCCGCTGATCGACTTCGAGGTGCGCTCCCAGTTTGAAGGGCGGCCTATGCCCCAGCTCACCTCCATCATCGTCAACCAGCTCAAGAAGATCATCAAGCGCAAGCACACTCTGCCGAGTTACAAGATCAGGTGAGGGGGAGAGGGCGGGGGAAGGACGCCGGCACGGGTTGGTGGGGGGTGGGGGCAGCTGCCGGGGATCCGGGCCTGGGCGGGAGGCCGCCGCCTGCGTGGGACGAGAAGGGCAGAGGCTTATCCCCAGCTCCTGCTCTTCCGGGGATCTCCCCAACCCTGGCTGGGCAGGACCCTAGATCAAGGCAAGTGGTGCGCCCGTCTCTGCCCCTGGAGTGCAGGAGTGTGAGCCAGAGCCCTGCCCGCGTGTTGGTGGGCCGCCCAGGGGGCTGACAGCGTGCGGAGAAGCCGCATATTGAAAGTGGAAGGGCGGCCCCCCTAATCCCCTCCCCCCCCCCCCAGTCGGCTTTGGGACTGTTGAGAAACTCCCTCTATTGTGGCTTCTGCATCGAGGGCAGTTTTGCAGCATCACCTTGGCCACGTTGAGAAATTGTTCCTGGACACAAAGTACGGGGGAGAGGAGTGTGCCGCTAGCCGGAGGCTGTTACATTTTGCGACTGCAGGCCACTTTTGCAATGGCGCTTTGGCAACTTTCAGGGCAGAGGTGTGGTGTGTGTTGTAAAGGAATACATTACCGCAGCAACTTGAAAACCAGTTGAGGCCCTATACCCAGTGTAGCTAGCTCCCTGTAGATTTGGCGTTAATGCCACCCGCCCCCTTTGGAGGGGGCTCTGTAACGCAGACCTAGACTCTGCGCCTCTCCTGTCAACTCTGGATGTTAAGTTTTGCCAACAGCACCTGAGGTCGCCTTGCTGAAGGAATTTGAAGGATAGCGATTTTAGCCTTTTAAAGCTCTCCTGGATCCAGTGGCTTCATTTGATGTAGTATCCTCTTCTGATTGATGGGCAAGGAAGTTTTGTAGGAGTAGGGGATTCATCTACTCTGGTTTGTTGGAGCAGAAAGGGTCGTACATGGCTTTTCTAAATCAGCTGTCCTCTACTTTGCTGTTCATGAAAATGTTTGACTCTTGGATTTTGTCCTTTCTCGTAAAACTGTGTCCATCTGGTATTTGCCTTACCTAGTGCCTTTTAGTGGAAGTTGCATATTTCTGGTTCACTAATTTTCTTGCACGGTGTCAAGCAACAGTGACCCAGGTAATCCAGAGATATTTTATGTGTGGGTTTGATATGGGTTATTGACTTGTGTGTGTGGCACATACAGCTCCCTAATTATGTTTTGTTTAGGCTTACAGCCCAGAGTGACAGCTTAAAACTGTTGACTGGCAGGAGACATTTACTTTGTCATGGAAATATTTCCATAGATCTGCACAGGGTGGCGAGCTGGTGGTTCACTGTGTCTGATTTCCTATTCTGTGAAGTAGAATGTACTTTATGAAACCAACTCTTTAACTCTGGAATGTAAGTGGCTAAATTATAAATGAGTTCTAGTGTTTAACCAGTGAGGTGTTTATTTATAGCAGTGTGTTGCTAAGAAAGCCTTGAGATAAAGTCACAGATTTTGGTATTCTATCTCAACTTCAATTCTGATGTGTTTTGGGTAACTTTCAGATAATAAAATTTGACTAAGTTATTGTTTGGGGGTTATTTGCAGATTAGCCAGTGGCAATGAGGTTGGATATCATTTTAGTTTTTTTTTTTTTAATATGAACTTGGAATTCAGTTAAATCTGAAGGAAATTACGAATAGCAGTTATGGAGACCTTAGTAGGTTTATTGCTTTGAAGGCACTTCATCATCTGTATCCTTGAATAGCATCACCACCTAATGTACGGCAAACTTACTGTATTGCTTTCACTTACTGTATCTGAAGGGATTCTTTAAAAACATAGCATGTGTTTGGTTATAGATGAGAGTTCCAGTTTTAAACCTTATACTTTAAATGATCAGCTTCAGAAATGTACACATTCGCACTCTTTGTATCAGAAGGCATTTCAGTGGTCAGTCAGTAAATACTGCACAGGACAAATCACTCACTGCACTTGTACACCTACCATGTGCTTATCGTTGTTTTAAGTGTTAGGGCTTCAATACTGAACAGCCTTAACCCTCATGGAGCCTAAAGTTTAAAGAGCACTTAATTAGCAGTACTTAATATGACTTAACTAGAATGTGCTCAGTGGGAGTTGGGGTTTGAAGTAACAGCAGCTGATTTTAGTTTAGTAAAAGAAAATAATAGAAGTGTGAGGATGGAAAGGGCTACTTTAGAAAGTGTTGAGTTCTCTTGTCTATGTAGCTCTTCTGCCAGAAGTATTTTAAACTACTGAGGTTGTGGAGCGGATTCAAATTTCAGTTAAGAGAATGAATTAAAAGACATTTAGAATGTATCACAATTCTCACAAGGAGAAGTAAAGTAGCTAGTGTTTACCCTTTTATACAGATGATGGAGAAGTGCTGTAAGAAGTTAAACTTGCTTAAAGTCACACAGCTGTCAGGTAGGGAAACCCAGCCCTCATAAAGACAGAACTGCCTCTTTCCTTCAACTCTGTCATCTTGTTCTTAAGGTATTGTGTTTTGTGGGGTTTTTTTAGTATGCTATCAAGATAACATATGTGGAGGTACCTTTACAAATTAACCGAGAACTCAGAGAAGAATGTAACTACAGATTTTTTTTTACTTAAATTGGAATTTTTTTTTAAAGTTTATTTTTGAGAGAGAGAGAGAGACAGAGAGCTGGTGTGCACACGTGGGAGGGGCAAACAAAGAGGGACAGTGAGAATCCCAAGCAGGCTCCCAGCGATCATGACCTGAGTGGAAATCAAGAGTCAGACGCTCTGCTGACTGAGCCACCCAGGCACTCCTCTTAAATGGGATGTTCGATTAAATTGGATGTTTGAGAGCAGATCTTCAAAAAGGTTAAATCTTTGGGTGCTGCTGCACATAGTATTTCTACTTTAATCCCTTCTAATTTTTAATCTATTTTGTTTCCAAAAAGAAGGTCTGCTGTTTTATCCCTTAGAGCCATCTAATCTACTTAGAGCTAAAGCAGTAAAGAATATTGTATTGAGTCTTAAGACCCTTTGGCACTTTTATAGCAGACATCCTTGCCAATTAACATTATAGTCACTTCCCCCCTCCTTTATCTGTTTTTCCATTTCATGTTGCTGAAGTGAAGGTGGCCCACCAGGAATGCCAGTTCCTAATGTCTCAATCTAGAGATTCAAAGTTTAGATGGTCACTAGATTATAAGGATTGCTATGATTAACCCTTCATTTTACCCGACTAACACAGTTTGTAAAACATTATAATATTTTTTAAAAGATGAGTTATATGTATACATTTTCTACATATTTCTACATTTTCTAGTTTTACTGATATAATTCTAAATTCATTTCCCTCAAATGTTCATTGTTTTGATTTTTTTCCCCTAAAATGTATACTTTACAATAGTAAATTAAAGTAGTAGTACTTTTTTAAAAATTAGTCCAAAAATTAGTCTTCAGGAGAGAAAGATTACCACCAATATTTCTGACTACATGGAGAATCCGTCTTCAGCACGAAATCTGAGTGATAATCAGGGGAGTTTAGAATTTGGGGGTCAAACAGTTGAGATTCTTCCTGATGCTTTTGTTCCTCAAGTATTATTGCTGTGTCTTAGCACTAGTTGCAGACTAAAAGGCCAAATTCAGTTTGCAGGTGCTTTTTATTCGGCCTCACTGTATTTTTGTTTCTTGATTGCCAGTATTTAAAAATGGAAGATTTTGGGGGCCCCTGGGTGGCTCAGCTGGTTAAGCGTCCAACTTTGCCCCCGGTCATGAGTTTGAGCCCCATGCTGGGCTCTCTCCTGTCAGCACAGAGCCCTCTTCGGGTCCTCTGTCCCCCTTGCTCCGTCTCTGCCCCTCACCATTCTCAAAAATAAATAAACATTGAATAAGAATAAAAATAAAAATGGATTTCTGGCTTCTCTTAGGAAACTGTGGAAGGTCTTGTTACACCTGGCCTGCATTCCTTCTAGCAGTAACAGGATGGGGAGAGAGGTCTGGGAGCAGCTGCAGGAAGTTCTTATGTTTAGTCTTTAGTCCCCGCCCACTTGCTAATGGTACTTGCCTGGCATCTTGTGAATTTGACTCTCCCTAAAGCGAGCAATACTGTTCATAATCAGTGAAAATGGGAAGAGTTAATAGCTGGATAGTAAAAGGTGATTATTTTTACCCTTCTTTAAACATTATTATCTTTCAAGGGACTTTTATGGAGCAATTTTATTTTATAAAGGGCATTGATATGTTAAATTAAAAAAAAATCATTCTACCAGAAACTTTTAAAAAACACATGGAGCATTTTCTGTTTGTGCAGGACAGTGATAGTAAGTACATAGTGGCTGCTTTTCACTGGAGTTTGGTGGGTTTTTGCTTTAGTGTGGAATAGGTGATTAACTATGGAAGCATATACTTCTCTGATGTGCAAATAAGGGGACATCTACTTAGTGATATTTGAATTTAGTGAATGCATGTGGAGCAGTTATTTGGGGGAAAACTTCACTCTTCAAGTTCATGGAATATCTTCTGAACATGACTGTTTTTGTCATAACTGTTCTGTTCTTTTACTCCTGAAAAGCATTCTGCTATATATTTGTGGAAATTTTTCAAATGTTCCTACTGACTAGAGACCAAAGGACCGGCCTGTATTTAGTTAAGTAGAGCTTTTTAGCATGTTTATATTTACCTATATCTTCCCTAAAAATACCATTAATTTCAGAGGACTAAATTAGGTTTGGCCTGGAAAGCCTCATACTGTGTAATGTGGTTTGTAATTGAATTTCTTTTTCGTTTGTCTTCTGAGATGAAGAAAAACATATACGCTTACTGTTAATTATAACATTTTCATTTTACTGGTTATTTGAGGAAAAGATGGTTTTGAGTAATCATGTCTTAAAAACTTTCAAAGTAAATTCACTGAAAGCTGACAAAATCATTTGTAAGGTGTAATGTCCTGTATTTATTCACTTTTTCTTTCATACTTTTTCTCTATATGGACAACTTTTAAAAGGTGTCTGAGGCTAGAAAATAACTTGAAAATAGCTTAGTGATTGTAAGAATCATAGTTT